AAGTCACAAGGAGCAAGGTCAGGTGGGAAAGAACAGTGATCGAGTGTTTGGTCAAAAACTCACGAGTTCTGAGGGCCGAATGGGCTGGAGCATTATCGTAATGAAGAAACCAATCGCCAATCCTCCACATTTCTGGCCTTTTGCAATAGATTTCAGACCTGAAATCTATTTTTTCAATCATAGTGAACCAGAGTTACTACATTGAAATTCTGAAATGTCTGGCCTATTTTGAAATCACAGTGAACCAAAGTTACTACATTGAAATTCTGAAATGTCTGGCCTCAGACATTTCAGAATTTCAATGTAGTAACTCTGGTTCACTGTGGAGCTTGGGAGAGGTACTCGTGGTGAACAACACCCTTAGCATCAAAGAAAACTGTCATCATCTTCAATCGACTGTCAACCACCCTTAAAATGTTCATGCCACTTGAAACATGCTGTACACTTCATAGCAACATCACTGTAAGCCATGTTGAGCATAGCAAATGTTTCAGTCGCAGATTTTCACAGAAAGTCATTGTTCCATCAGGTCATTCATTCTGAAATCCGACAAACGAAAAAATCGCACTTCACTAAAAACCACATAGCTAATCAACATATAAAGATATCTGCAATCGGAAAATGACTTTATCACCAGACGATCTATACAAACCTAGCGACACCAAGCAGATTCCACTGAAACCAACTGAAGCCACACAATTCAAACAGTCTGTGTATTTTTTGAACAGACCTCGTATTGTCATGAGTTAACTAGTTTATGAATTTGTTCCCTCCAACCACAAATGCCTAGACTGACTCATCTTAAAAAATCATTTTTTTAAAACTCAAAACAGCAGTAAATTTGGACAAACAAGTATTTTCACTGCAAACTGGATTCATGCAATTTTAAAATTTAATGTGTTACAGCCAGGCCTGTCTTTGGTACGTGCGAGGCCCTGGGCCAAGAAAAGCTTGGAGGCTCCCTTAAGGAATTCATAATGGAGGGTTAATGTTCATAATTTTTTTCAATTAGCTTTCTCTGCTAAACATATATTTATGTTTAATAAAATTTATCAAACATAATAATCTTTTGATTGTTTACTGTTTCTAATAATTTTATTACTTGTTGCTCTATTCAATTTTGCATATTTTAGAGGTCTCGAATGTTAGGAGGCTCCTGGGCCTAAGCCTGGCAGGCCCATACCTAAAGACAAGCCTGGTTACAGCATCATCTATGGATCATAACAAAAACTTTCATAATTATAATGAGAATCGTTTTATCATTATAAGTAAACTAATTATTAANCAATCGGATAAACGGTGTGATAATGCATGAAGGACAGACAGATACACACACACACACACACATTCACTTTTATATATATAGAATATATAGATATATGTTCTGCTTTGGTGTTATCTGCAGGAAACAGTATCAATGATAATGCTATTAGAAATAAAAAAAATTGCAAAGCTGTCAAAAAAACACTTCCCTGAGAGATTGAAATTATCAGGAGGACAAAAAAGCCCAAAGAAGATGCATTGTTTGCAGTGATAAGCAAAAGTACAGGAAACCAGCCAGAAAAGATACTTCATATCAGTGTACTGAGTGTGACATAGGACTGTGTGTAACTCTCTGTTTTATTGTTTCAAACAGTACTTCATTATGAAAAATAGATTAGCGATGTATTATATGTTCTTTTAGTTAATAACACATATATTGAAAGCATTATTGTGATTTTCAATTCTTTTTCACTTTGTCTATTTGTTAAACATGCCCAAATAAAATTACAGTGAAATTCATTAAAATATTGCGCACACACATCAAAATTGAGAGTAATATAGATAAATGTTCAACAAATCAGAATCTGTTTTCACTTTTTCCTAGCTTCAGTCAATCGTTTTTATACCCTCGTAGAAAATATAGTAAAATTACTGAAATCAGTCAGCCCACGGGTAAGGAACTAGGTCAGCAGGACCTGCAGGGTAAGTGTTAAGGGTTAGCCCATAACAGTATGTAATTATTTTCTAAGACATTTTTGGCAAGATCAGTATTAGCTGTGCAATTGTTGATGTTACTGATGTTCTTGAAGTTGGTTTGCCAACTTTCTGGAAGTAGCCCCCTATGATCCTCCTACAAATGTAGCTTGTCAAAAGACTCTTCTTTGAGGTGAAAATGCACAAACTTGGATGGCCACTATGTCCATTAGTTAACAAATACACCCACCTGACATATTATTCAGAGAAAGCCCTTGCTGCATTTATCAACAAAGTACTACCCAAATCTGAATTTGTAATATCCTCAACGTTGCAAGCCAAGAAAATTATTATTGATCCACTGGGGGACATTATCAGCAGACTCTTTTCAGTTTTATAAAATAGAGAGAAATTGCATCTATCTCTCTGTTCTAAAATTTGATGCTGTAATGCTAGCTAATGCATTATTACTAAAAAATGCCTTTACAGTTCCACAAATACTCACTATATGGTAAGTCTGCTTTATAGTTACAGAACAATTATTTTCAGTTTAATAACAAATATTTTTTACAAAAGCAGGGAGGACCTATGGGTTCACCATTTTCAGCGATTTTGGCAAAATTGATTATGCGAAGCACTGAAAACAGTGTTCTTTTCCCTGCTTACAATACATTATTCCCTTCTCTATATCAGATATGTGGATGATGATTTAATTGCTTGGGAAGGTACCACCAAAGAATTATTAGCTTTTGTAAACTGTCTTTCTGAAACCTACTCCTCCATATCATTTACTATAGAGGAAGAAAAGGACTGAAATATTGCCTTTTTGGATCTTATGCTACATAGAATATCTACACAGCTCCACTTTATAGTTTATCATAAGTTTGACCTACTCTCCTATATCATACCTTCTATCTTGTTTCAACATATGTAAACAGCAAAATATGTAAATTCTGCCATTTCCATACTTATCTGCAGGACATATTCATACGCTTTGTCACCAGTGCTTATACGCAAGGAACTGTGTCCAGTGGCAACTGCCATATACAAAGTTTGAATATGTTAACAATCTTGTCTGCAGATCTCTCTTTCCACCTACAGCGTTAAAGACCAATATAAAAAATAAAATTGTAGAATTTGCACAACCATCTATTTTGTATTTGGGTGTTGTTACATTACATATAGCATGTGCCTTTAAAAAACAAGGCATAACTTTACCCATTAAACCTCAGTTGTCCCCGTGCTGAATGTTATGCAATGATAGAGATTGCTGGTCCTTGTTAGAAAAATAGGGGTATACATGATCCCTTTACAAGCTCAAACAGGAGCAAAAATCTCTTATATATGGGCCACTTCCAGAAAGTTGTCAAACAGGCTTCAAAAATATCAAAGTGATATCAACAATTGCAGAGCTACTGCTGATCTTGCCAAAAATGTCTTAGAAAATAATTACATACTGTTATGGGCCAACCTTAAACTAATGAAGCTATGTTTAGACTGTAGAAGTTTGAGCTGTTCACTTTTGCAAAATTCTTAAAAAATTAACAAAATTTATATTGACCGTAATCAATAATACCCTAATACGGACAATATTTTAGTAGCTTTTAAACATTAATTTTATTTGTGTTGAGTACTGTTATTACCTTTCTAGTATAAGGTGGTAATTGTAAAAATAGACCAAAGATATAAGATATTAATTAATTCTTTACTTATGGGAGTCTTTGTATACAACAACATACAAAGCTTGTAACAAACCATCTCTTGATTTGGAGAGGTTTGGACCACTCTATACAAATCTATAAGATATTAATTTACACTATATATTCATNATGCCTAACAGTGCAAATGCCATCTCGTCTACATCTGCTATACCATCATCACATCCATTAAAAAGAGCTAGGGTGAGAGCACAGTCTACTGGTGATATGGAAAGGAAAGAAGTGCATCAGGTACTAAATATTACTGTTTCTGTTGTACTGGTGATCATGGTCTTCAGCAGAATGTTGGCATTGATCAAACTAGTGATCCTATTAATTTTTTTACTCATTGATCAATATCTTATTTCAAACATGAAAGAGCAAACAAATTTGTGTGCTAGGCATAAAATTTCCTCTCGTAGGTCTAAAAATGCACTAAGCCCCAATTCCAGATTCAAGTTGTGGAAAACTGATGTTTTGGCAGAAAGAAAAAATTCCTTGCAATAATACTACATTATGTGCATCAATGAAAGGCCTAATTTGGAAAGCCATTGGAGTGAAGACCCTGTAATCAGTTGCAATTTCTGTCTCAATATTATGCCAAGAGATATTTTTTCAATGTTTCACCTGAGTGACAATACTAAGCAGAAAAAGAAAGGAGAAGGCTTTGATGCTTTATACAAAGTGAGGCCTCTAATGAATATTATAATAAAGAAATTTCAAGAAACTTATTATCCTGAGAAGGCTCTAACAATTGATGAGGGCATTTTGCATAACACAATCATAATTAGTGTTTCCACCAGNGCTCGTGTTTCGTTTGTAAATTGCTTATTTTTTCATTACATTGAAGTTGTGGATTCTATCAAGCATTTTAATACAGGATGTATGTACTGTATTTTTTTAATGTGGCAGTCTTTGAAACATATCAACTGTGCAAAAAGAGGGATAGATGTACTCAATGTTCCTAGTAAATAAAATGCTGTTTTATTATGTCAATATTCCACATCGTAAGAAATGTGAGGGTCGGAATTTGGACAGAGTTGGTCAGGAAAAGTCAGGGAATTCAAAACAAAAATTTGAGTAGGAACCCTGTATGTTTGAATGATTTTAAAACACAGAATGACGAACTCATTTATTATCATGTTTTCAAATAAACAATCAAAATGTTAAACTATTTTAGTCAAAATTGCGTAAGTTCATTGTTATGAGTTTTTGTGGTGGTCAAATTTCAAGTTCAGTGTTTGATTTTACAATATTAAATTTAATATATATTGACTTTCTTAACTTTTGTTTTTCTTTTTAGTGAAGATTCTTTCATTAAACTTATTCTATTTTGTTTTTTTATAGGAACGTCATGCAGAAGAAGTCCGACAAAACAAGGCTCAAAACATAAACGAAGAGGAGCCCATCCCTGCTTCTGGCTAAATAAACTGTTACCATTTTTTTTTACTGCCATATAACTGGTATTCTACAAAAATTTTTATATTTAACAAATGGTCAAATTGATTAAAATTAATCTTTTTCATTTCCAAAGACAGTTTGAAAATTTCAACTATATTCAAAACTACATACTAAATTGCTCGTCACAAAAATTCCAGTTATTTGGTAGTCTGCCAAAACAAACGACCAAATCTCAGCCGAGTCTCGAAGTGGGGTTCCAAGTTTTGCATTTTACTACTTGTTTCGATGTCGGTCTTTCTTCCCACGTGTTTGATTTTAAAAACGTAGCTATGTATGTTGTCTAAAATATGCAAATTACTATTCAAATAAATATATATTTGTATTTGCTTGTGGACCAATTGTGGGTTTGTCCACGTTTAAAAGTTTGCCTTAATATAGTATTCTGCATGTGCAGTATTTTTTGTTTTGAAAATTTTGTTTTAGTTTCGTAATGTTCATAAAAAGGTTCAACTATTGCTATATATATATACATACACATATATATATATATATAATATACTGTATTTTTCTACAGATTGCGGTTCACTTTGTGATGGACGCAGCCATTTATGTACGTCGTTTGTCATTGCATGATTGCTGCAATAAGAGCAACTTTTTTGTTTTTAATCAAAAGAATAGCTTTGAAATTAAAACTTGTAAAACTATTTAAATAAAAGCAGTTTAAAAATGTGAAAATTTTCTAATTTATTTGGAATGTATTTAAATTAATTTTGTATTCAGTCTGTTGGACTATTTGTATCTGTATTCAGCAAAATGAATTCTGATTGATCTAATTAATGCCATGTCAGTTTGAAATTAATTAAAAATTGCTTTAAAAATGGGATCATATAAAAGACCACCAATCCTTTCTCTTTTTTCAGGATCCAGTGCAAACATCCTGTATGAAGAGGAAACCACATTAATCTGCATTACAGGTGTTTTGGGTTTCTCAAAACAAATCTTTTTTCTTTCTATGATTTTCTCTAAAATTACAATATACTTTGATAAAATTGTTCCTAGTTTGTAAATAAAACACATTTTTCTAATACAGTGGGTGATCGGTTAACGAACATAATCCGTTCCAAGACTTTGTTCGTTATCCGAATTGTTCGTTAACCGATTATCGATTTACCATAGGTTTCNGACTCACAAAACCTTTCAATATACAATAAAATTATTTAATTGAAATAACAAACGTTTTCGACCTTAATATTCGGTCTTCATCACGTTTTACAAATGATGAGATTCTAAGAACAGTTCTGTGCAATGAATTTAGAACGTTGTGCACGTGTGTTGCTTGGATGCATACATGATATTAACATAACAGCCATGGACCAATTAACAGCCACGGACCAATGGTCGGTGAGCTACAGCCAATGACAGCTTCAAACTACTTTAAACTGCAATAACCCAACTACAAATATTTAATTTTTAAAATCTGTCCAACCAGTACTACTAGGTCAATTTCATACTATGACAGATTGACAAAATAAAACAGCATTTAACTTTAATGTGCCATATTGTAAGGGACACAAGGGTCAATGAATTTGTACAAAGTTGGCCAGGGAAAGTCATGGAATTTAAAACAAATATTTAAGTAGGAACCTTGTAGATGGCCATCTGTATATTGAAAATACTGTTTGTTTTTGATAAATTGGAATTGACAACACTATGGAAATAGTTTCTTTACATATCAGCATGACATATTAGTTCAGAAAGCCAAAAATCAGGTCTTTGGAATCCGAGTTACTTGGAATTTGCTTTCTTCTGGAGTCAGAGCTATATATTATTTGCTCCAGCTTCATGTTGTAGATTTAACTGTTAATATCTTTAACTATTCTCTAGGAAGTTTTGAGCTGTTCACTTACACAAAATTCTTAAAAAATTAACAAAATTTATATTGACCGTAATCAATAATACCATAATAAAGACAATATTTTAGTAGCTTTTAAACATTAATTTTATTTGCATTGAGTACTGTTATTACCTTTCTAGTATAAGGTGGCAATTGTAAAAATAGACCAAACTGTTTTTCAGTTTGTGCATGCTTAATGATGCTAAATAACTGATGACTAGTAATAGTAAGTTAATTTTTTATTTGCTAGTAAACTGGACTTGTGCCACCCGAAGAAGATAGTCATCATAGTCAGAGTAATTTCCTAGCCTATTAGCATGTGCAATACATTAGGTTAATAGACAGTTACCTACATCTGACATTTTGGCATAGAATGGCTTCTGAAGGATCAAGGGACATGGTCAAGGAGGGCATGGGATATATGGGTGACAAAAATTTTTAATCGTTTTCTTTATTAAAAATCATTCTTTTCTCAAAACTAACCACTTTATCTACACATAAGTGAGGTTTTTCTTATTTTATAAATAAGGTTATTTTTATTGAGTAGAATTACAAAATTGTATAGAGGTTATTGGAATTTCCCATGCAAAAATGAGTCAGCTAGTTTGATATATGGTATAAATGAAAATATTTAAGTTTGTAGAATCATTTAAGAAAGTTAAAAACAAAAAGCTATAATCACACAATATAATGGTAAAGAAAAAATAATAAATGAATTCAAAAACTATTATTATTATTTTGTACTTAACAAACCATTTATGCATATTACATTATGAAATTCAAAGCACAGTTTTTAGTTTTAAACTTTTTTTAAAATTTTTTAATTCATATTATAAGCAATACCACAAATATTCTAACTATATTGTAATTTTAAACTTTCCTTAACTAACTTATTGTAATTTTAAATTTTCCCTAAAATCCTTTCGTTGGCTTTGTCGTAACTTCTACATTCATACTAATGTGGAAAACCTTCTAATGCTCTTTCATAATCCATTTATAAAAAATCCTATTCTCACTTCCTCAGCCGTATCTTTACAAATATAAACAAAACACCAAACTCTTGCTGAGCTTATTATTACTTTAATTTCAAACGTTTTCAGCCCAATTCCAATAGGCCATCTTCAAGAACTATTCGAATACAACTTTCGAATAAATTTTAAATTTAAACTTTTAACATAAACTGTAACTATTAACTATTTAACATATTTTTAAATATCACCGTAAACCATTAAATATTTAACTAAAAAATTTTAACATATTATATGATAAACATAAATAATATAAAAAA